ATTGAAGAGAGTGTAATGCGGTACATATTATGGATTGAGCAGTGCCTAAGACCTTCATGTTGAAAACGTATTCATGATCTGCCGCGTGAGGAGATATAACCTGTACTGTTACCATTTTCAAAATATGTTCGAATGCGATCTTCATTCACGGTCAGCATCACAAAACAGAGGAAGTCACTTTTGAGTTGCTAATTCGAGCACGGTACAACAACCACTTGCTGAATGTATCAAAGTCCAATAAAAATCCAAAACAATAACAAAGACAACGTTATTGATCATACAAATGTATTAAAAAATTTTAAAAACTAATCAGTAGAAATGCAAATGCAAGATCTGCAAAAACGGAATTTTTAATGGGATTTGAAATTGTTCGATTTAGTGAACACACAAAATTGCATATAATGGTGTGCTATAGCGGCAAAAGTACAATAGTTAATAAAAGCCAATGCACAAAAGAATTATTCGCCTTGGTTCAGACTTTTATGATACTTTATTTTGAAACATAGCTTTGCCATTGTTTGCGTGAAACGACTTCAAGTATGCCTTAGGATAATGTGCTTTAGGATTGATGTGATAACGTGCCTCATCACTGTTCGACAGTTCTGTTCAATGAGCTGACTCATTCACAAAAAGAAACACAACAATCCGTTTCGGTATGCTCTAATCGGATAAGTATATAATTCTGAGAATAACTTTGAAGATTGAGTCATCAACTCGATTAGTTTTATATGCCTGGAATTTGTCATCATTTCACTCTTCAAACTGCTAACGTTCCAATAAAGCCATCCATCTCCTTTCGCAACAATATTTGTCTTTTGAACATTTTTATGGCCGTCATCAATACAGCAGATGACTAGTTGCTTATGCAAACAATCTTTCAATTTCTCAGTTCGAATACATGTTTGCTTGTTCCATAAATGAGCACATTAAAAGAAAATACTCGAATCATAGCAAGAATTCGTATTTGATTGATTTTTAAGATTCATCCATCCTGAACTTGATCGAAAAAACAGCTTATATGATGAAAGTGAACCGATTGTTATGAATTCAGGCTTGATGTAGAGGAAATGAAGATGAAAATATAGTACACATACTACCAGCGCTGAAATATTTCGTAACACATTTGTAAAACTTCATTTGATGTGAAATGTCAGCACGGAAAGCAGTCTTTGGCGGTCACGTGCGAACTTTTAGATAAGTGGATTTATAAAAAAAACCGATTGAAGGTCGCATTTTTATCGGCCGTACCTGTTACACTGTCATTATTATCATTTGGATCAATGATGCATGGGACGAAAAGAATCTTTTACAATTCAATATTATCTCACATCAGCATTATTTTTAAACGAGTTGATTCAATGGTTCAAACACACAAAGAATGCCATCACTGTTTTATGGCTTTAAGCAAGCTTGTTGAACATTCTCGAGTTTTGTGTGGCAGCAAAGAACTGAACGCGTTTAGAATTACTTCTAATGGATGACCTCACTGATATCATAATGAACAGTTTTCACATACAACAGCAACATGATCATTTCAAAAATTTTGAAATGCATGCGCAGTCAAATGAAGATGTGAAAAGCTTGATAATGATTTGAAATGATCCATATGATAAAGAGAAATATAATACGCATTGCATATGTTCAAGATCACACAGGCAAATTAACGAACACATTAATAAACAAACCACCATAACGTTATTTTCTATTAATGCATCGAAATGAACAGTCAAATTGAGAAAGAATTAAAATGAGGTTAGATTGAGATTACGAGAAGGAGTTAGATAATCAATTGTATTTGTGCTTTTAAATAGAAGTGATGAGATGGATTCGTGCTCAAGATGCTTTCTATTATATTATGAATGTGAAGATTACACACGCATACGTAATTATCAAACTACACAATAACATTTTCTTCCGTCTCAACATTATTCCCTACTCAATAATCATCAATAAATCAATCACTCTCTAACTTATCACACTTACCTCTCATGGATGAGATGAAGGTAAGTGATGAATTTCTTTCTCATGTGAATGAAGCCATTAAAATTCCATCCTTCACATGTACAGTTCTGAATATTTAACAACTGCAAAGGTCTATGTTAAGTAACTAAATTTGGTATGCATTTATAGGAGCCGTGATTTGTATGTAGACAATAAATAAATAGTCCGAGTATGAATTCAAATTTTGACTTCTCAGATGCAGCGAAACACAAGGAAACGCATTTTCGAGACGCTATCTCAAGAAGTCTCATCTCCAGCTGGAACGTCTCATGAATGCACTGATTTACTTCTCATTGCATGGATCATAATTAGATGTGAGCATGTTCATCAATCACACTGAATTAATTTCGGTTGAAATACTTCTCCCTGTTCGAGAAAGTAGTTGTTGATATGAGCAAAGATCTGTGGCAGAATGTCTTCATGCATGCGATGGTTGATGCATGTTCTGCGTGTTAGACTACACCCCTGTTCTCGTTGACCTAAACTGCACGATAACCGTATATACCAATACGAAACTGCTTTTCAAAATCGCCTGAGGCAGAAGCCGAATCAATCAATGATCATTGACGATCAAGCATAACGATAGCCTCTTCATATTAATCATAATCAACCCACCATACAATTTTAGTTGTAGCAATTAAGTTGTCTTCGGATACTCAATAAACAGTTGAGAGCAAAGTGGTTGGACGAGAGCGGTTTATCAACTCTTAAAACTTCCATATAAGATACAAGAATGAAACAAATAAAAGAGAAGCATAATGAGGTGATAATTGCGGTACATAATGGGTAATTCAAGCGAAACAACGAATAGAGACAATACTGTAGCGATATTAGAAATTATGTAGTCACATAATCACAAATCCGTTCACCATAGCATACCTTTTCTTCCTAACCACTCAACAAATTTCCTAACACGTTCGACGCCTAATATTTATGCATGATGCATTCCGATGCAAATAATTCGAACGTGATATATATCTGACTAGTGGTCACGCCTGATCCAGAAACAACGAGAGAACTGTAGTGAATATCCAATTGAATGCTATTCATGGAACAGTGTCGATGAGAAATATGATGAAATTTGAAAACGAATTTACGACAACATCGAATGAATCGTTTCACAAATTATGTATAAATTAATGACCACAGCAAGGTTTGTTGCGACTGACCCAACTCTTAATAGTAAAAGATAGCACTGATTGATAACGGTAATTTAAAATTGTTCACTGAAAAACGTAATGAAAAAAGGGTAGTTGTGATAATTAACAAAATCGTTCGTGCTGTGATAATTAATAGATCTCAGAACGCTGAAATTCTTTCATTGACAATTTTGGATAGTAGACTCCATTTCTGCACCAGATTAAAGAACTTGATTTTTTACTTGGCGAATTTGCATTCCAGCGAATAACATCACTGATCACTAATGAATTTCCGATACAGTGACAAGTAGTGAAATACTGAATTTTTAAAACAAACGAATTTTAGTTGCTGCGAGAATGCCAAAATAAACATTTGAACTATTCAAAGGATAATCTCAGCCCAATGTCTACGAGCCCACTAAAATGTCAGAAAAACAGGATCTGGACTTTCCGGCTTCATCTACATATGATCTCAAACGTCCACTGGTACCGTCGGAATATTTCTGAACAAATGAAAGCTTAATGCAGACAACACAAATAAGCAATAGTAGCATAAAAATAAGCTAATGAATAATGAGAGCAAGAATAAGTGCGACACTGGAAATACCAGAAAAAATTACAAACAAAACATACAGGAGGCAGTGTAATGAAAAAGAAATGATGAAGAAGACGTGATAGAAGCTGAATTTCAGAACATCATTATTAACACTTGCAAACACTAGGTTGATTTCCAAATGATTATGCTTACGTGGTTCTTCGAACTTTCGCTAAATCATACCTCATCATTAGTCCCGTAAAACATTCCGCAATCAAACGCGGAATGATACATATCGAAAACAGTGGAACAAAATCGTGAAAATGAGAGGCATGATTAAAACGCAACAGCAACAGTGAATTTTGAATATTAAAAAAAACATTTGCGAACTGAAGAATTTTCAAAAATCACAAAATATTGCAATCTATCTAGTGGTCATTCAGCGAAAGACAGAGTGATCACGCGCAATAAATGTGGTGTTAAATCCGAAGAAGAGTCAAAATAATCAATCGGCGTTAAAGTTGAGCCGAACACTTCATGTTTGAAAAATCGTAAAGCAGTTAACTTATCGGAATGCGAAGAATAGCTGAAGAAAATATTCAAAAGCGAAACCACTACATTTACAAATTATCTTAACAAAAATTATTGAATAATTAGGGAAACGGAAATATCAGCCTATCAATTCAATGTGACAATAATAACAACGTACTGATCAAGTAAATGAGAATCAAACAACAAAAAAATCTGGGAAAAGGAATGCGTTTTTCAGCTGAGATGAAATCTTTGACAATGTATAAAAAGGAAGATAACAGCTCTTGATCAAGATCTTCATTGTTGAAGAGTATGGCAAACATGCGATGACAACAATGTTTTTGATAATACAGAATATCTATTGGCAACTACAAGATGAATGCAGTGAGCTGGATTAAATAGCTACTAATTTGTTCGCATTGAAACCTTCCAAAATTAAGACATGTGATAACCTTCTACGAAAGCATGCATTTGCTTTTGATAAAAGTTCGAAAATTATGGTGAGAGACACTCGCAAATGCTTTTGAATTTGCAGATGAATTACTTGTTTGGCAACAGATTTCTGAGAATTTCTTCAGCAAGAACAATAATAATGGAAATAACGATAATTATAACAGTAGCAGTGACAAGGGTGGTAATAATAATAATAATAATAACAGTAAAAACAATAACAATAACAACAATGACAATAATAAGTTCATATAGCATTTATAATAACAGAATCACTCATTATATAGCACTCGGATGAGAAGCAACCAAAATCACAATCATTTTATGATCAGTATCGCAATAATTTATCGTTTTCGACGGAACTGATATTCCGGTAGATCACCTCTGGTTGCGACACTTTCTGTATCTGCAAATGCGATCATTTAGTGCATTTGTGAAACATTATAATAATGAGATTCACACGACAGAAGTTAAAAACAGCAGACGCACATGAACACTTACGAAGCAAATAAAATGGATCAGGATCGCGAAAAAACGTTTGGAACTTATAAAACTGCATTGAGTTACTCGCTGTGAGAAGAAAATAGTTATTCGTTTGGACATCATGTTGCGATAAAGGCCTGATTGAAATCAATTATGATCAGGCAACTAGCGGCTTTGCTCATTTAAAATTACTTTCAACAGACAGAAGGAAATTAATGGAATGTTCACAATTAGATCTACCTTCGGTCAACAACATCACTTACTTTTCCAATAAGTCTTTGTTGTAACAAAAAACTCAAGAAAATAAAATATGATAAGTGAAGATGGACCACATAATACCAAGTCAGTTACGTCGACACGAATAACCCTGCTATGAAATGAAGGAAACTGTTTCAGTTTAGATATGAAAATTTGATCCTGAATTCCTTCATATCAACCAAAAAATCTGCTCCATCATAATCTACTCCGCAGCAATTTTCAACCTATTTTTAAAATCAATTGTGGATTCATCTTTTGGATCATATTATGAATAGTGAATTTCTTTTTCTAGAGAAACAAAGTAATTTGGATTATAAAGTGTGTATAGAGTGTGATCAGGTGATATATTGGAAGGAGAATAAAGCTCGTCAAATGGATGAAAGACTTTTAACAGAGAAATCTAACGGCAGCCAGCATCAACAAAATATGAACTGAAATGAACCATTTCCATATCTAACAAATTAGTAACATTAATCCTCAAAGTGAATGCCAGTGTGAAAAATTCACCAAGACACCTCCCTCTGTCATCGACAAGGAATGAAAATGAATTACCTTCTCATTAGTTTTTCAGCTCAAGTTATTTTGTCTTCGGTTTTAACTCCATTTTTGCTGTTACTAACGAATGGAATATTATATCTATTTATGACTGTCGCATTTTTGAATTTGATATCTTAGGCAACCAAAAACATTTCGTTTATTCAACTTTGCGATTAAAACGAATCATTGTCTATTCTTAAGACGTCCACTCCTTTGAATTGAAGGCTCATGTAATACACCATATTTTCATAAATGGCTAAATCAACAACTTTCTAACTCTAAATACCTTCCTTAAATACCAAAATAACTCGGTTGCAATTAAGAATGGAAAAGTTACTTGATATCATTCTATACATTTTGACCACGTACTCAACGACAAATTGCATCAAAGTGAATGTGATCTTCGCTCTTGATTCAGAAAGAACTCGAAATCAGAAACGCTAACGTCTATTTACGGGCAAATGCAGAATCATCTAGGTCCGAACAACGACCATTCAAAAGAACCCATCAACATTTAAAACATCATATCATGCTAATATGACCATATGTCAGTTCAAGCAAGCGCACGCACTCATCTTACCTTTACTGACGCCTCTTACCAGCTCCGTCTAAAATCAATTCATTTATAAATAACTTGTCTCTTGCTGTTAGTATACAGCTTACTGGTTTTCGACAAAATTATTTTCAATGAAACTGGACGGGAAGTTCACTGAATCAGGTGTTCTGTGCACAAGTGATGAAGGATACGAAAATTTGAGGATTTCTAATGAGGAATTTTTCGAAGGATGGCGGGAAGTGAATGAGCTGTTAGTTGGTTGAGCAGAAATGTCAGAATAATAGGCTTGGTTTAATCGAGATGCTGAAATCTATCCTCAACAGTTACATATTTCAAACAAATTGAGATGTTTGAAGCATGGAAAAGTGACATACTGAATTGGCGATTAGTATAAATGATCGTTTTGGAACTATCGATTTGATTTCACAATACTCCTATTGTTAAACAACTATTTTTGGGCTTAAATGATGTGGAATTTATGCGAGGATATGTCAAGAGAGAATTGATCTGTACTGCGACTGTGGAAATCCTCATTTGGTTACTGTATCAAATAACACGGTTATGCTGAACGATCGTCTGTTGGTTCTTTAATGTTATAAATTCAATGGACAATCGACTCGACTAATAGGAAAAACAACAGAACGACTAGATAAATGGATTGATGTTCAATTAATCGATTTACCGGTTTGCTCGAATTGACAAGTTGCACCTAAGTAACCAGGTGCACAAGAACATTGCCCTGTTATTCGATCGCATTTAGCACCGTTATAACATTCACATCGTTGTGCGCAATTTTTACCGAAACGTCCAGGCCGACAAACTGAAAGCAACAACAGTTAAATGCAGGTGAATCTGAAAAGTGATCGACTATTCGCTAATTTCAGATCCGTGGACGCCTATGGAAATCAAAAATGCTTGAAGCACAAATCGAACTTTAAATTCAAACGATATAAACTTTTAAATTCCAGTCCGCATGTACTTTTTATAATACTGATGCTATAATAATATTTGCTAATGGAAACATTAGCAGAAATCTGCATTGCTAATATAATCGCACAGATGTGCTAAATTTTTTTCGATGATAAAAAACGGACAATGCCTTAGCATTAGAAGAATGTACAAGTTCACAGATAAGAATGAATAAGTTTCAGGAAAAGAGTGATCTTGGTTGAGTGATGTGCACAAATAAATCATTGTTTAACCTTGTTTGCACTGAGGGCCATGCATACCCATCGGACATTCACAATGTCCACTACGATGATCGCAAGCAAATTCACCGCAATCACACGTCAGCTGGCAATGAGGACCATAGGTGTTATTTGTGCAAGACTGCTCGCACTGCAAGCAAACAACATTATGCAAACAACTTCCACTACAAATGCATTCACTGAAGGCAATTATACTATTATTTAGTTGATCTTTGAAAACTGTCACTTGTTAGTTGCGTAGTGTTTCACAGTGCCAGACTAAACATTAAACTTGCTTACAACAGAAAACTGTTAATGGTAAAGCATTTAGGGTGGACAGAGGGCGCTATAGCCAGACAGTCATTTGGAATGAGGATTTGACAATTGGTAAGCACATGATAAGTTGAGAAAACTAACCAAATCGCCATAGTAACCAGGCGGACAGAGACATTGTCCATCGCCAGGATCACAAGTTGCACCATTTTGGCAGTTACATGTCTGACTGCAGTACCATCCGTAGAAACCAGGAGGACATGCTAAAGTGGAATCAAATACGAGATTGCGCTAATAGATGAATCAACAAATTAGTCGACCTGGACTTGAATAACAGCGGTCAACAAGAGAACGATTTAGTTACTAGTATTTTTTCTTTGCTATTGCTAATGGTATTCTTGTATGTGCATAGTCAAATCATCACAATCCGAAGGCCAGAATTCTATGAATTAAGGAAAACGACTGAATGGGTGTGTTAAACTGACTAAATTGACAGCGTGTTCCGTAACGACCAGCCGGACAATCGCAACATCCCTGAACTGGATCACATCTCGCCTCGCCATGACACTCACAGTCCATCGAGCAATTCATACCGTATTTTCCACTCGGACAAGGTTGCTCGCATGTTGGTCCTGTATAACCCAACGAGCATCTGTAATATATCCGTCCATTCATTCCCGTTGCTAATATAAGTGAAGCAGCGATTTGTTTGACATATTAATTATGTGTCGCATCGCATAAGTTAGTCGAACCAATCAATAGAATAGCTTTTGATAGCGATGACACTTGACTGCATAAAGAAGCATGAAGCATCCGATTAGTCATTTTATTTGGTGATAGATTGAACATTTTTTCAAACACTTCTTTCCATATCACTGATACTATCTTTTTCCGTGAATTTCTAAACGTATTGTAATTAGTGTTCGTCGAGGAGCAGTTTTTCGGAGTGGGGGGGGGAGGTCCCCGTACGAACGAGACTGGACGGAGGCTGCAGAAAAGTCGGAGAGCAAATTGCGCAGGGAGTAGCGCTCTCCGTTGGGGTTCCAGCGGGGACCCCGCTTCCCACGGGACGAACACTACTTGTAATACAATGCATTTTGGGCATTATTCCAGTTAAAAAACGGATAAAATTTAACTTGAAGCGTTTCTCATTCAAATGAATTAATTCCATGTAAAATTTTTTCGATTCTCTGCGGAGTTTTGCAAATTTTGTTTCGAAGTTGCGCCACGAGCATATGAGAAGCTATTGTGTTTAAACTTGCCGACACTCGCCAGTTGCCTGATCGCAACGTCCTTGATTTGCACAACGACATTTTTCTCGACATCCTGGTCCGTACTTTCCCTCTTGACACACTTGCTCGCACTGAATACCAGTGAAACCAGGTGCGCAACGGCACTGTCCCGTTAATCGATCGCACGTTCCACCATTACCACATTCACAGATCTTCTCACATCTGGATAGCAATTAACTGGTTTCTTTGTGAACAAAAGAGGCACTTGAAATTGCATTCGATTGCAATTTTCATGATACACTCAACCTTGAATCAGGTGGATACCGGTTCAGTTCGTTTGTAAAACCATGAAAATTTCAATTTTCAGGCAACAAAAATGAGAAATGACTAAAATAAACACTTTTGCTGCAATAGCAAAACTATCTGCATCACCACTAAGCATGAGCATATTATCATTCTATGCAAAGCATTGACGAATATAACGATTAATTCAGTCGTTCTTTTTCCACTCTCATTTACTATAACCACCGCGCATTGAATCCTACTGAAAGTGTGCGATAACGTGAACTTTCTGAATACAACTGGAATATATACCATTGGTTGAAAGTGATAACAACACCGCAAGATCGTCGACAAGGTATGACATTGGGTAAATAAGAAAGGAGACCAATTTAAAGATGAACCTTTCACCAAATCGATTTTCAGGGCATGGAACTTCGCATTTAGTGCCAATAAAACCAGGTGGACAGGTACATGCACCATTCGTTTTACTGCACACTCCTCCGTTTGTACATTGGCATGTCTCGTGACAACCCACACCAAAACGACCTTGCACACAACCTACAATAATTCTTCTTCTCCTCGGTTAAAACCTTACAGGAGACGAAAACTGTAGTTCACAAACTGCTTATTTTTCATTTCCTTTTATAGGTGATAATGACCAAGTCTTTTATAAAAGAAGCTACACACTGAATGAGAAGTAAATACCATTGATCGTTAGTTGAATTTGTGACCAAAAGCCGATGAAATAAGCAATGAGAAAGAGGCAATAAACAAGTGAGCATCCAAAAAACTGCGACGGAAAATGAGTGCCTATACCTTGCGTGCAACCAGGACCCATATATCCAGGCTTGCAAAAGCATTTGCCGTTAATGGGATCACAATCAGCGTTCGATCCACACGCACACTGCTGCTTGCAACCGTCACCATAACTACCTGGTGGACATAATTCTGTACATGAATGGCCTGTATAACCTCGAGGGCACTGGCAACGACCCGTGATGTGATCACACGGTTTTTGATTTTGACAGCGACAAGCCTGTGCACAATGACGACCAAAGTAGCCCTTTAGACATGCTGAAAAGATTCACTTTCAGTGAACGTCAAGTCATGAATATTCATGCAAGTGAAGAAATTATTCAAGATATGATGATTTTAAAATTATTACTTCAATAATAAGAATGAATTCCAATTTACTTCATGAAATGACTAGTATAATAGATGAAACAGAAAGAAACAATAAACAATAAACGATATAAAGAATTAATAAACGGCACTGACGACGATTGCATTTTCGCCCTCTCCAACCAGGTGCACATTGGCAATGTCCACTAATTGGGTCGCAACTAGCGCCGTTCTCACATTGACATGTTTCTTCGCATCGCTCTCCAAAATGACCGTTCGGACATTGGCGATCACATCTTAACCTCAGTCAATAGAATTTGGAACCAGTATGCCAATTCTTCAACCTCATTCACTACGAATGCTTACAGTTTCTATAGTAACTGCGCATGTTTGAAAAGAATACAAATGACGGAAAGTCATCCAAACCGTCGGTAGCGTTGAAGAAATATGTCCATTTAGGAGAACTTTTGATTTAGATGCTCGTTTCACAATCATTTTGTTTCAGTTCTTCGAAATTCAACTTTTAAAAAATCAGAATATTAACCTCGTTCCAATCCAACCAGGTAAACACTGGCATGCTCCACTGGTTCGATTACAACCAGCGCCATTCATACAATCACACTTTTGTTCACAGTTGCGACCAAACTGACCAAACGGACATGCTTAAAACACGATTGCAAACGAGATTCTCATACAAGACAAAGAACGAGCTGATAACGTCATACCTGATGCTTTCATAGCACTTTTATCCTCAAATGAATGAAACCAGGATAAACAGGCCGATAATCACTTTTTTTTTAACGAATTTAGTTGTATGTTTAAAAACACGAACGAACACTCACCAAATTCACATGCTGGACCTGTCCAACCAGGTGCACATGTGCATGCACCAGTTTTTGAGTCGCATGCTCCATCATGCATGCAAACACAATGACTTATACAGTTTGCACCGTATAGATCGAATGGACATTCTGAAATGAACGTGTCAACTGAACACAACAGTTCCGAATATTATTCTCGATTTCTTGGAAAGTTCACTCTTGCCCCGATGACTTTCACTCACACTTTGAGGTGAGAAAAATTTATGGGATAAATAATGTTCAGACTAAAGCGGTAAAACATTGCAAATAATCATTGTTCGAAACGGTTATGAGGAAACCATTTCTCAGTCAGTTTTATCATTTCGTCACTAAAAAGCGTTTAATCTTGACAAACGGGTCAGATAATACACGATTTCCTTATCTTAGTTTAGGATCAAAACACACTGTGATGCGTTCATACCTTGCTCACAGCGCCGTCCCATGAAGCCAGGTGGACAATCGCAGAATCCAGTGATGCGATCACATGAGCCACCGTTCTGGCAGGAGCATTCGAATTTGCAAGCAACGCCCCATCTGAAAAATGTTGAGCTCGATGATGATGCAATAACTCACAGTAGTAAGTGGTCTTTTTTCTTATGTCTTCAATATTATTCTCCTTCCTTATACCTCCGTAACTTTTACAATTCTTATTGATTAGTATAGCTCTTGATTTCATGATATAACGAACCGTGGCTTCAAATTCAGCAAAAAAAAGAAAACAATCAGAAAACTGCTAATGTCATAATAGATCAGAGAAGACAATGCCGAAAATGAACCTATTTGGTGGGCAAGGTGTTCTGCAGTCTGGCCCCGTCCATCCTTCAGCGCATCTACATTCACCAGTTACTGGATGACACTTCGTAACAAATGGTGTTATCTCTGAATCGCCTGAACAGTTTCAATACTCGATTAAGAAATGAATTCAGTTGAATCATGAAAAAATGATTTATGAATGGAGTTAAGAATTTGATCATGCTTAAAGACATTCTGAATCAACGGCAAAACCAAACCAAAAATCAACGAATCGTTGCTTCAATGAAAAATTCATCCAACAAAACTATTCTGCTCATGAAGCGCTCGTGTAAAAGCGAAAAATTGACATCGCTAACCGTTCAACAGAAAAAAAAAGGTGAAATAATAAATTATGAACCGATGGAAGAGCAATCACAAATGTTATTGCAGCCTTCTCCGTACCGTCCATCCGGACAGGTTCTATCACAATGTAAACCTCTCCATCCAGCTTTACACTCACAAGAACCACTCACCGCATCACAGCTACCGTTATTTTGGCAAGTGCAAATGCCTTTACAACCTGCTCCAAAACGACCTGGTTCGCACGCTAAATTTATTTCACTATCACTATATTGGTGAAATATTTATTTTATCACTTATTACATTAGGGTTTCTCAACCGAGTGTGCTTAGACCCCATTGGGAGAGGTGCGAGATAAGCTTTCAGTATCTATACGTTAAAATAGACGAGAACGCATTCAACATATAAAGTAAGCCAGGATGGACTTTAACGTATATATTTTTCAAAGGTTAAACCTTACTCTAATGATATACACTTATTTAAACCTCAGACACTCACTGCAGTGGATAAGAGATACAGAGTAGATTGTGAGGAGTGTGAAGATATTTTAAGTACTGTTGTAAGCGTTGTGAGAATATCTTAAAATTTTCTCGGCGTGGGGGTGGGAAGGGGGGGGGGGGGAGAGGTTGAAAATCACTGTTCAATGGTAATGAAACCGCTCATCTGTATGACATACCTAGCTCAATCAAGCTCTATCTAACATAAATACTTTTGTGAAACTAGAAAATGTCCTAAAGTCGATTTTGAAAAGAACTCGCGAGTTACTGGGCAAACCTGAGGATACAGCTAGTTTGAAAATGGTACTCATGATAGCCGAATGGCAAAGTTTCTCAAAAAGGGATACTCGCACCCCCGAGGAGTACGAAATGTTATTTCAGGTGGTGCGAGATAAGGTTTCAGTATCTATACATTGAAGTAGACGAGTGCGGATTTCAACGCATACATATGTATAAAGAAAGCCAGGATGGACTTTTTCTTATATATTTTTGAAAGGCTAGAACAGTGTTTCTCACAGGGAGTGAAATTACCCATTTTTGGTAATTTGGAGGTATGAAGGGGTAATGGAGAGAGTTGGAAAATTAGTATTTCGTGCAATTGTTAGCAAACACAGTCGGATTTCTTCAATGTTAGGTGGTGAGTTATTTAGATGAAGGAAACTAACCTAATTCACAGCTTTTACCCCTATATCCCGGAGGGCAGATACATTCTCCATCGTTTGGATCACAGTTCATACCCTCATCGCAAGAACATCGACTAGAACACTGGATACCGTATGTTCCTTCTTTACATACGATATCACACTTTTCACCACTCCAACCCGGCAAACATTCACAATGGCCGTTTGTTGGTGAACAACTGCCTCCATTATGACAATCGCACAATTTCATGCAATCAGTACCATAACGACCCGTTGGGCACACTGAAATCACTGTTCACCTTCGATTACCTCTTTCTTCTTGAAACATTCATCCTTTCAAGCAAATCCTCACAACTCATTTAGCTGTATAAAGTCTGTTCGATGTAAAAATATGTATTGTCGTAGGTTACTGAAGCGAACAATAGCGATGAAGCAGAAAACAGTCTACTATCAAATCCAACATTGAATTCAAAAATATTAGCAATTAGCGAAACTACTTGAACATAGTAAAAAATAAGCTCCAAAAAAAAGATACAACCAGTATCGAATAGATAAATTTGATGATCGCAAAATGATGCGAATATCAGTGATGAATACTTTGAAGTGCTGCTTCGATATTTAATTAGAAAAATTAGTGACGCCTACAGAGTGTTTTCATTGCTATCACATGCGATTATCGAAAGTTAGATATTGTATGTCGATCTTCAAGGTTATTCCAACCGTGAATTTAATGGATTCTTTTTACATGATCAACAGATACTTACAGCCAATTACAAAATACGCTACCCAATTCTCGCACACCTAAACAGAGATTTATTTTGAAATTGACTGAAGCAAAAATATATCGAACCTTCACTACATGATGCTCCATAGTAACCCGGTGGACATTCACACGATCCATCCTTTACATTACACTGAGCGCCATTCTTGCATGAACACTCATGCTGGCAATTGGGGCCGTATAAACCGGGCGGGCATGCTGAAATTACCTAGCTGATGTGTTCGGTTACCGAAGCCAATGCATCAAATCAAATGAGTAATAAAAAGCAGTTTTGAATCAGAGGAAGTATCACTATCTAATCTCATGCATCCATAGCAACATCTATTATCCTTACGAACACAACCGAAGAGTCACTAATCAATTAGCGCTAATCCCATGACGAATTAAAGTGAAATTCCGCTTTTGAAAAAAGCTTCAGCACTGGCAGTTATAATGCCAACAATGAAGGTAAAAAGAAAAGTTCATCTAAGAACTGAAATAGAGAAGGTAAATGGGAACACTCTCATTTCAATAGCATTAAAGTGTTATTGCAGATGATGGAACACTAGAACACTGGAACACATTCATTTCAGTATCTAAGAAATACTTCCAAGAATGGATCATGAGCTATGCAAGGCAGATGATCTTTGACAGCAGCAATGCAAAAATTTTCAGCTTTATGAAATTCCTGGATGGACGTATCAGTGATGACTGCTTTACACAGTGATGCATTCCAGATCAACGAAATATTCATGAAAGAAATTCATGACACAAAATTCGTATAGTTCCTAGCATAAGCAGAGATGTAATACTACCTAGGATAGGATAGATTTTTCTAGATCGAATACGCATTAACAATTTCATATTGGTACGCGAAATGCTGCAAAAAAAGAGTCAGTTAATGCTTGCGTTAAGTGAGTGCTGCAAAAAAATAACTGCTAAACTGATAAATTTATGAAGTGTACGATCTCAGAATGAAACAGTAAATTTGGTGATCAAATAACGTACTGAGAGATGGAAATTCATATCTGTTAGTTGCATGCAGCGTTTCAAATAATCGTTTAAAAGACAGCATTCCGGAAGAAAACGAAAAGTGCACAAAACCAGTACGTAAACGAGTGTTTCAAGATAGCAATGAGAATTATCGTTTGCCTATTCCGACAACGATTAGCAAATTTTCCAGAAATTTTATTGCTATTAACGTAAATGATTTTCGGCCAGTAGCGCATCTAACTGATTTCACATCCAATCATGACGGATCTTGATCAGTATGTATTTGTACACGTTCTATTGAACATTCAAAAATACTGATGACAGTAGATGAATGCAAACAAAAACGTTCAGCGTGCAACTCAGAATCAAATGCATTCAAAGTGAAATACTATTAGCAATGCTACTCTTATGCGATTAGTTTCATTATTGTTATGATTAGTGTTCTGCTTACGCTTGTCGCATTTCACTCCAAACAGCCCGGGCAAACACGTGCACGTGCCAGTAACATGATGACACACTTGTGGTGATCCTTGAGCACAATCGCATTTCTGTGAACAGTCATGGCCATATGTTCCGGCAGAACAAGCTGAAACAACGTATTTGTCGCATAAACTTAACCTTTACTGATTTCAATTCAATCGAGCAACTTTTTGGTATTATTTCATGACTTTATCATCATATCTTGAACGCTTACCTCCCTCACAATCACTTAAAATTATTCTGTAACTCAGTTGAGCACTCGAAATACCACCAAAATCATCTTGAGTCAAATTTCCAATTGATGTTATCACAACTCTCTCCTATTCTTCAAAAAAAAAAATGTTTGCAAGATGGTTCACAATGCAACTAAAATACAAATAGAGCGCATCAATGATAAACCGATCGTTCATTTAATGTTGACTGCGAGAAATATCGTTCATTTACAAATATCGCAACTCTATCTAAGTTCTCTCTTATTGTTAGTACACATGAAACCGTTCCAGTGCTCTAAAAAGAACGACGTCATAAATTGCAACGTGCAACATTCTCTCAAACCGACTAAACAGAATAACCTGTGGTTGAACATCGGACATATATTCGGTGCAAACACACAATGAATGAAACATTCAGCCTAAATGACTGAATAATCTACAGCTGAAATATTCAATATGACTACGCTGGCTGAATATACTCAATAAGTTGAGCAAAGTCATTTCAGTAATGCACAAGCGTCGTATCACACTTATTTACTCATAGAGAAATTCAGCCAGACAGGACGGTTGAGGACATAGTAGAAGGTGTTTAATAAACAAACATGATCATTCAATACGGAATTGCTTTGAACTGAATCATTCAAATTACATAACTTAAACGTTTCCGTTCATTTGCACCATTAAAATACATACGTTTTTGGCAGTTTTCTCCTGTAAATCCTGGAAGGCATTTTTTTGTGCATTCACCAGTCACAGGATCACACAATAATCCTCGACCACAGCTACATTCCTTCATGCACGATGGTCCATAGAATCCCATTGGACATCTCCGTTTGCAGAAAGGACCATAGAATCCGCTTTTACAAATGCATTTACCACTCTGCAACGAAATTTCCTTTCATAGAACTTGTGAAAATAAAAAGCGAATCCTCATTTGCTATCCAAATCAGCTTACACGATTCTAAACGACCACGAAACTATTATACTTTAAGAATAAATTTAGGTCAGTTTTGTCAACGAGTTGATAAAATGATGTCTACAACAATCAAGGAGAATAAAAACCTTTGAATCACACAGTTCGGTATGATGTTTGGTGCATTTGCAAGTGTGCCTACAGTTCTTGCCAAACGTAAAAGATGGACAGCTGAGATCACATTTCTCGCCATATAAACCGGCTGGACAGGTACAGTAGCCATACGTCTTATCACAGCGTCCGGAATCGCAGCTCATACGACATGGTAATTCGCAGGATGGACCATAGAAGCCTAAAAAACTGTTTGCACAATGTTGTGATTTATCGACAGTCATCGATCATCTTGAAAATCTAGCGAGATTTAAATAATCACACGTATCCTCCGAACAAAAAACACACGTTTTCTGAAATATTACCTAGCTGTTTTTCGGTTCGGCTGATTTTTGAGATGGAGGCATGAGACTATAAAAACCACTTATTAGGGTGAATAGCATTTGTCAGAACACGCATACATTAGCCCCATACATTTCGGTTCACCTATGAGGCATGGGACGTTCAGTGATCTCTGCTATCCTCATGGGACGTTTGCTCATATATGAGACTGATTAAAATTGTTCATTTTAAATGGCTGAATGAATAATGGTTTTTGTTCGGGAAGACTTCTTGTTCCGTTTCAGTTAGTGATTAATTCGATAGATTTTATTGAAGCAATACTCGATCATGCTATACGAATTTTCACCTGCTGGGCAATCATCATCGCATACAGCACCTTTAGGACAAACGCATTCTCCACTGACATGATGACATATTCGCCCATCACATGCACAGATATGATTGCAACCCTTGCCCCATGTTCCTTCTGTACACACTTTCTCGCATAAGTCGCCAGTGTAACCATCAGCGCATTCACAAGACGTCTTATCACGACTGCATCTTCCTGTAACAAGTAATACTGCTTGACTGTTTACCGTTCGGCTATTAAATTTGGTGATAATTACTATCACTATCCGACGCACACTTGTCTCAAACTATTAGCCGATGGCTAAAGTGAACAAGAATAAGTACCTCCGTTTTTGCAATCTTGACATTTGAATTGACAGCTAACGCCGAATCGCCCATATTCACAAGCTGAAAGCAGTACTCTTAACGAAATTTGCTGATGAATACGTCATAATATTACAATTGTATGCACACTACGTCACATGCAAGAGATTATTTTCAAAAATAAGAACCAGATGATCGTTCGAATGCGTTTTTGATTACTGCAAAATAGGTTGAGCAATAAATTTTTGAAAGCATACAAACAATTGACATATGAATGAATTTCTATGTTTAGCCTTCGCACACTCAAAGTAAGCATTCTACGAGACTACAGAATGGCAGCATGATATGTTTATAGTATTACTTCAGAGGATAGTCTCGTAAAGAAAAACGAAACCAATGAGCTATCAAAAGCAGAACGGATTATTAAGAAGTGCAATTATCATTTAATTTAGTGAATATTTGTTTACATGATCAGTGAAATTTCCGTTGCGAAAAATTAGAGAATACGAAAGTGATAAACGAAATTGGCTAATAGTAATGAATAATTGCATGCAACTGCAAACAGCACAAGAAAAAGCAATGTTGTCCGTAAACACAAGAGTGACCTCTTTGCTGATCGCGTGCTAAAAAGACAGTGCCAAAATCGTTGAATTCGGCGATATGAACGTCATCATGAGCCACTTGATGTTGTTTAGAAAGGAATGCAAATCGAGAATCGCCGTTCGTAAGATCAGTGCTAATCGCATCGCGATGTTTTTGATTCGAATATTTTTCTGAAATACACAACACTCAGCAAGCATGCATAAAAGCGCTAACTCAAGCAACAATGAATAAAACAGCACTGGAACCTGTACAGTACAATACAAATGCACTATATGCTTTAAAAAAATACAATTTGCTGTGCGAAACGATCCTCAGTGGAGTTGCTTTTCACTTGGAATTTTTACATTGGATAATGTCGGCAACTTTACAATGTTGGCTTCATTTATTCACATAGATGATAACAAAAAACCAACTTCACAATACTAAATAGAATTTGAAAGGGCCATTATGAATTCAAGTAATGATTGTAAGAGCACTTATAGTCTATTTATCACGAACTTCAAGGTGTTAACAAATTTTCGGAGAAATTTTTCCTCATTTCCAACAGCTTTACGCCTTCAATATGGAGACTAGAAACTCAAAAATAAGCTAATGACGCTAAAATTGTTTTTTTTTTCATTTCGATCCCATTTTATTCCCTTCATCTTCTATTAAAAACTTCGAATAAATGAATCTTGCTCCATTCAAAGCAATGATTTCCCAGCCGTAATCTTTTCAATGAAATACTCTCTTCTTCGATCACAATTTGTAAAGACTGTATGAGTCTGGCCATGTTCGAAACAAGCAACTCCACCGAAAAGTCTTTTTGCAACATTCACTGCATATTTTTCCCATTCCATTCCTTAAACATACTTTCAGTAACTTGCGACAATGCGTTTCCGGATGCAGCTGAAACGCTGATGAATCAATGAGTTTTCCAGGTATTAAAACTGTTGGAATGTTAATGATATTGGTACACCACTCGGTTCCGAGTAAAACTTTCCTCCGCGAACGGGGATCGAACCCGCGACGTACCAATTACCGATTGGGGCTCTACCACTGAGTTACCGCGGAGACCGTTCAGTCTCCGCCGAGTGGTTGTTCTTAAGATCGCAATCAGTTCTTCAGCGCACATAATGCGAAACTGATCTGATGAGCATTAACGCGACAATCAGAGCGAACTGATCTGTAGGCGATCATTTTGATTTCACGATTTTGTTTCCTTATCTTTGAAGTAAAAATCCACGTGAACGTTAAGACGGTTGTTATATTTGAATTTTGGAATTTTTAAAAATCTCATCTCCAGATTTCGTTCCCTTCTAAGGAGAGTGCCTTGTGGAATGACCTTACAACATAATTTTTCTCCAACAATTTTTATAGAGGCATTTTTTCTATCGGAAAGATGCCTTTTTGGGGCTTAGGACCGAGGAAACTCCAAAATTCATGCACCACAACACTCTGCGTAACAAACGAGCTCGTCTGACAACTTCCCATTTTCATCCTTCTTGTGCCAAATTTTTTAAATGTTGTTCTCAATTCAGAAGTCACTTTTTCAGAGGGACGAGAAAACGATTTCTGAAGAAAAAACTTTCATTCATAAATATGGACCGTTTTAAGGAATACGTTAAGCTAAGATGGCTTAATACAGTGGTTCTCATAGCGGGTGAAATTATCCATTTTGGGTAATTTTGAGGTGTCAAGGGATAATGGGAAACATCGGAAAATTAGTATATCGTGCAATTGTTATTTTATGATAAAATGCCATTGTGATGGTGTTGTTTAATTCGGATGTGTAATTGCGGTTAGTTAATGGCAACACTCTTCTTTCTCCTCTTTTCTGAGTATCATTAACTTATCCGGGTTTAACAGGGTTTTTATTTGTTTTAACAGGGCTTTCATTCTTTACCTTGCTGCTACAATCACTCTCACAGCTTTTATCACCAAAACTTTTCTCTTTTGCTCATTTCTCACTCACTTCATCAACAATTAAAGTCAAATTCTCATTCTATCAAATTCACTATAATTAATCATTTAACTGTCGAACGTTGTTGAGCAATAATATTCGATTGCTGTATTGTTGATTTCGGCTATCAACACTCGTCAACGTATCCGGTAAACAGTATATGCTACAGAATAAGAAACTGATTTGAACTGTGAAGTGAAATGAGACGAAGTGAATGAGAAAAACCCATCAATAGAACGATATTCGCATGTAATAGCTATGAGAGTGAATACAACACGTCTGAAAAGAATGAGAATCCATCTAAATCAGTTTGGAGTGAGCAAGTCATACACAATAGCTTTTCATGCAATCATAATCGATTGCAATGATGAGCGAGTGGTTCACACTAGTGTTGGGTTGGTGACTACCGAAAATCGGTCGGTAATCACCGACGGTTTTGCGACCCGTCGATGATTACCGACCGCAACCGACACAGTGTGCTCGGTCGGTGATGGTGGCAAACCGCCTCGCGGTTACAACCGAACCGCAACCGACCGATGCTCAAAATTTGCCTCTCGGTGAATACCGATTTGCAGTGACCACCGATAGAGCGCTCGGTCGATGGCCATCGAGAAAAATCTTGCGGTTCCCAACACTAGTTTACACAACGGTCAACGGCAGTCGTTTTCATGGATAGTGAAATCACCCGTTTTGGATAATTTGGAGGTGTTAGGGGGGGGAGGGGGGGAGAGGAGTAATGGAGGGGGTCGGGAAATTAGTGACGTCCGAACACAAGTATTCAATCCTGTTCCTTATCAGCCGTGTCAGATTCGACCACATTCTCATCGCAAAAAGTTCATTGGAAAACCCACTAATGCAATTTTTCCCGTCTTCTGCAAGACTGAATCCTGTGAAGCACTCGCATCTGTAACCACCTTCTTCATTTTTGCACAGCTGACTGCATTCACCATTATTAACCAAACATTCATTTACATCTGGAATAAGCTCTTCTTAATTTAAACGAATGGACACAAAACCTATTAAAAAATACTTTGTTGTTTTAGTCCGTTATGTAAGAAATTTTACGGTAATTTAATCACATACTGAAATTTTGCAGATTGTGAGATTTTTCAATGCACTCAACCTTTTGTGGAATTTTTTTTCTTGCAATTTTCGAATTTCACACTGCCTTTTTGCAATTTTTGTGAAAGTTTTGAATAGTCACATTGATTGCTGCACGAGTTTTGAATGCATTCAAATACTCTGTCAGCTAGATAGTCAAATAGATAAATTAGCACTGAAAAAAATTTCATTTTGCTGGCAAATGATGACTTAATTTAGTGCAGAAACATTGCAAAAAGAAAGATGAAATATTACCATGACAAGAATGATGATCAGATGCAAGCAGAAAACCATCCTCGCAAGAACAGCTGTAGCCGCCAGCTTCATTGGTACAAATATGCTCACATCCAGCATTATTCGCAACACATTCATCGATATCTTTAAAAGAATTTATGGTAGGAACACATGAACAATTGAATTTGAAATGCGATGACATACAGCAGCACGAATTTCACAGGAATTTGTACATCACACAAAATGTGCTGGTATTTCCCCGACTGATTAGTGACTTTGTGAAGTCGCTCCTTCAACAGCCAAAGATATGATGTAGTATTTTCGAAAACGATTATCATTTTAAAGCCCCAAAACTTGCATTATTTAAGCTGCTTTCTGTGAAATTTTTGCTTACAGTTAAATAACTTTGAAGGAGAGGACAGCAACTGACAAAGTCTAACTCACCGTCGCACGTTTTGCCATTATACGTGAGTATATACCCCGGTTTACAAGAGCATTGAAATGATCCAGGAATATTTTCACACAACTGATCACAGCCATCAGTGTTCAATTCACACTCATCAATATCTGAAAATGCACAAATCAGATTTCCAACTATCAGAGGTACGCATTCCAAATTTTTGAACGATTGTATCTACAAAATAAGCTTTTTTTCGTTTATTCCAATTCAGCATCTCCGAAGTGATTTCACTCATGCTACTGGCATGTTCATAAATACCAGTTTTTAAGCATTTAATTTGTTGGTTTTCGTTCCGAACATTCTATTCGCATGTCAAGAAGTTGATAAATGGACAGAATTCATGTTATCCCATAACTCTTATGGTTTTACGCTTCCAGAATATTCAATTGTGAAACATTACACAAGGATTACAAGCCGTTACGATAACTAAAAACTGATATGTCAAAATTCCGTATGAAGCACCTCGCCATTGAAATCATGGGCAGTAGGGGCTACACTTCTCTGATCAGCAAATCGGGAATCGAGATTAGATTTTCATCGAAACAAATGATTTACTATGTTGATTTTATCAACTGTTAAAAATAGAGTGTGTCAAGAAAAGAAAAATGTGATATCTGTGATACTGGTGATAAAAATGAAACATGATTTCGTAATGAGTTCTAGTGGGACATCAAATATAAGACTTGAATAAATAAGTGATAATAAATGAAAACTGCGTTAGATGAAGCATCATTTGCTGCTGATTCAATAATTGACACGGCAGGCCCACTTCTGCAGCGATGTGCTAAGTTTTCACAAACCTGAACAAGATTTTCCATCTGCTGCAAGCTTATAGCCACTTCCACAGCCGCAAATGACACCACCATCGGGTTGATCGTAACAGTGGTGTTGACAGCCGCCATTTGCTAGCTGAGATCAACAATGTTAAAAAATTGTTTCACAAATCGGGTAAATCATTTACGATCTTCATGTCACAAATGTTTCTCTCTCAACCTCCGCGTCATTTCTCAAGAAAATTTGCCAACCGTGTTATTGGTTAAGATTTTGTTTCAGAAGCTCACATGAACAAAACATACCCAGCGTCGTGAAATTTTCTCGAGGTACAGCGAGGCGCAAAACTACTTCAATTCAATAAATGCATAAAAAATCCCAGAAGCGTTCGCAAAAACATTCACAATCTTTGGGATTTCGGGGAAGAGTCCACCTCTGAATTATACCTGCTTCAGTGTCCTAAGTCACCATTTGGAAAATTTTGCGATATTTTGCATTTCAGAAGTGCGGAGAAATGATGAGAATTCTCACTCTAGAACATTCACTGATTTTCTAACAAAGAATTTCAGCATGAATGTGATCTCACCTTGCAACCTTCGAATTTCAAATCACAACTCCTTCCATCGTCAGCAAGTTTATAGCCTACTCGACATCGACATCTGAATAAAAAATTGATCCCATGATTGAAATTTATCATTTCCAGCCAAAATTCACAATTGACGGCATAAACACTAACAGAAACGAAATGTATTGATGGAGCTGGTTCGTGATGGTTGCAAATTATGAAAACGAAATAATTTCGTGAAAACACCTTCGTTGAGAGGGTGAAATTATCTCACATAAACAATCAAGAAACTTTGGGTAAAAAGGAACAAGCACGTTTTGACGCTATGTGCTAATCAGCTTTGCAAGGCTGGGTATTGCTAAGCAGTAAACAGGTATGGAGCAATGCAGATAATCTACTAAACGATACAAGCAGTCTCGCCCTCAGCTTCCACTTAAACTCTTCTGGTTTTAGAATCTGGCTACGGTTTGAACAAGAACGCAGAAAACGCAAGGATGATCACCTATAAGAGCCGTAAACGTTAACACACTCATGTTCACATCCACCTCCATTCATCACTGAGCATTCATCGATATCTGCAAATTTACTCACAATCAGAGGGAAAATTTTTCTAGTCGTTTGAAAAAAAAGTCACAAATTTATGCCCAAATTTACCGAAACGTTTTTCTCATAAATGATCAAGAATAAGCAGTCTGAAGTGCACAACAGATCCCAGGATTAATATTATGATATCTCTGAGTTTTACCAAAGACTGATTAAAAGTTCGTGTGTGCAAGTGCCGTGCATACCACAGGACACAACGATAAGTTATGATTTGTTTGCCGAAGAATTAAGATGGGTGTGTTCAAATGGACCGAATTCAGAATTCTTATTGAACAGTGAGGACAGGTTTATTATGGTACAAATGGGCACTTGAATCAACGAACCGATACAGGATTTACGATCGGTAGCAAGATGATAACCGAGATAGCATTGACAAACAGCTCTGCCATTATCATTGATACAATGTTGTTCACATCCTGCTTTATTCGGATAACATGGATCAATAGCTAAAATTTGAACACATATATATGAATTTCAGAAAATATCTGTTGAAAATGAACAGTGATCAAGCATCAACGCCACATCGCACAGCGAATCTTGAACGCAAAACCGAACAGATTGATTTTAGTTTATCGTCCTTTTATATTCAAGTTCCTTTCTAAAATTCACAGTGCCAAATTCAATTTGAAGTGGAGACTATGGCACTTGATCAAGACTGCTATAAAGACGGCATTTCGTTCTGTTTTCCATGACTTTTTCGATTTACCTGTTGAGCTTATCTTCATGAGATATCTTTCTCCCTCATAAGAAGAACAATTACTTACGATGGCATTTTCGTCTGTCTCTGGCGAGTCTGAATCCGTGTTTGCATTTACACCTATAGAATCGGCCTCTTCTCTGTTCACAAATCTGTTCGCATCCTCCATTATTCGACGCGCACGTGTTTCGTACTAAATTTCAATTACATTGAGTAAATCGCTCAGTGCGTGTGGATTGTAACTTTGTGCAATTTATCAATGTGTGTTATAGTTGATCAAATTAAACCGCTGACAACGAGTTATATTGTCAACTGATCAAAATATTAATATAAATAATGAATGCGGTAACTAACAGTACGTTGCTTCCACACGTAAGCAACTGAACTACGTAAACGCATCACAATTTTCGTGCAATACTTTCATGTTGCATCTGTTTTCAGCTTCGTTTATCGTGCTATGTGCTTTTTTTTGATGCGAACTAAGGAGGCAAGAAGAGGAAATTATCAAGATTTTATTGACTGCTTGAGAATGTTGTTCAGTTTCTGATTGCGTCAAAAAATTGCTAAGTATTGATAAATGCGAAAAAATTACGAAAAAAATTGTGTTTTATCTAATTGTAAATAAAAACTATCATCACAAAAATTGCCTCCAAACATGATCAATTATATGAGAAGGATGAACAACTGAAAGGTCAGCAGTACTTGACTGTAGCTGATGTACATGTTTCCGGCATAAACATGCAGGTGCATCGGTAAATGAGGTCTTTTATATAAGTAAGAAGTATCATCCAAACAGAACTAATTCCATGTGTATACGTCCACCTCTTTTGTTTCGCTTCTGCCACTACGTCAAATAAAGATAAATTCCACTTTAAAGTCAAAACTAAGCCTGCGTCTCACAAATTGTCATGAAGATATACTTCATCGGATGTTTGTTGCTAATTCAATGAGTATATTTTGCTATTACATTCTAAATTTACAATGACGAATCCACTAAGCGACCTTTTTTGAGTGTTTTCATGAATAAACGTTCAAGAACAACACACAAGCAAGCAAATGAGTCAAGAATGAGGATAACTGTAGCTTCAATATACAGCTTCAATATTCCTATACTAGTGTAGTTGATTTCAAATCTATTTTTCAAGTCAATAGAACTCTGGTACGAGTGACTAAGGGAGAAAGGTACTTGATGAACTAATATACTAAATATGGCATATTCGTACAGTTTTGAGATAACCAGCGTTTGCTGAGTTAATCGGTATTTGCTGAATGTATTTGCACAGTTAACCAGTGAAAAAGACTCCAATTTGCTTGATTTTAAAAAATTTATTCTGGGAGAAGAATATCGGCTGCTAAAACTCATGTGCTAAGAATCATGAATACTGCTTCCTCGTTAAAATAAACTGCGTCATATTTACTAC